AAGTCAGACAAAGTTTTGCGAAACTAAGGGTTGGTTTGCAACTCCTTTTAAAAAAGTACTTCTCAGCTTTTGGCTTTAAAAAGCACTTATTTTTCCAAACACTACAACTTTTATTTTTCTCGGCTTCCGCGTCAAAAGTGCTTTTACTTTTTCTATTACACAAAAAGCACTTATTTTACCAAACACTACCCACTTTTACTTTTCAAAATCACTTTTTTCTCAAACACTATCAACTTTTATTTAATCACTTCTTCTCATTTCATTAAAAAAAGCACTTTTTTAAAAGTAGAAGCTATTGCAAACAGACCTTAAGAGCTAGCCAATGTATTGATTTTTCCCAAGTTGCATGCACCCGAAAGTGAGAAATCGTATTGATGGAATAAGTACATCATTTTCTAATTCTTATAGGTGAGTGAATATTTAAATTCAACATACTACTTGTACACTCCGGATTACACATACAAGAGCAATTGTTTATGTACAGATAATTAATTTTAGTTTTCGTAAAGACACGTTTCTGTGACTCCGAATTGTCTGGACAATTCATTTTTTTTGGAGTCAATGACACTATCCCTCACAAAAATTAAAATCAATTGTGTGCATATAGACAATTATACTTGGTGAGTGAATAATTACATTATTTTCTAATTCTTATAGGTTAGTGAATATTTAAATTTAAAAATGCTACATACTTGAATGCGGTGGGTTACACACCTAAGTGTAATTATCTATATACACACAATGAATTTTAATTTTTGTAAAAGAGAAGTGTCTGTGACTCTGAATTGTCTGTGCATAGAGAATTCATTTTTTGGAGTAAAAAAACTATTCTTCAAAAATTTAAAATCAATTGCCTGGACACAAATAACTACGAGTTCGTTTGGTGACTGTTTTTCGGCTTATTATCAGACTCGTTTGTCAACTTTTTAACCAAACACGTAACTTTTAATTTCTCTCGCTGAATTGTGTAACAATAAGAAAAAATAAGGTTGAAGTTACTTTTCTGACTGTATTGCCTAAAGTTACCGGATGACCACTTTAACATTTCCTCATTTTTTTTCTTTATTTTATTAATGAAATATATTTTAATTATATATTTTTTCATATACCAGGGGAATCAATCAATACATTTACTTTAGCAAACTTTATAAATTTCAACAGAACGAGTATTCATCCATTCCTGTGTTACCAAGAGAGCTTTACATTTGGGCATGTAAATTTAGTACTCGTAATTTACTACACATTGTGAGGTGTGGGTAAGATCATAAATGTCGCATCACAAAAAGCTGGACTAGCTAGGTAGCCCCTACCACTTGGATCATTTACAAATCACAGTGACAGTCAATAAAGTCCAAATTTTGAAGTGGACTATAAAATTTCCTTCCTTCCTGTCATTGCTGCTCAACCTACTTATGGTATTTCCATGCGGTTATGCCCTTGTGGTAAAGCTTCATGCACGTTGAACTAAACCCCTTCATTTGGAAAGGAATGGTCGCTAGGTGGACGATTGAGCACGTATTGAAATGTATGTCTCTTACAAAGGGTAGATATTTTCCTTGTCCCTCATCCTTCACAACTTGATGTGTACTTGGAAAACACTGTACTACGTTAATGTTTTCACTCATTTAAGCCAAGCACTCATGTGGACTACACCATTAATTGCAAAACTAAAAAATCATCAGGGTCAAATAAGTAGACGATATTGATTTTGATCGATATGGAATTTGTTCGACTTGATAGCAAAAGATCACAAGGCTTGGTAATATGATATGGAATTTGTTCTACGTAGTACTTGATAGGAAAATATCACAAGGCTTGGTAATGTGATTTGGAATTTGTTCTACGTAGTATTTGATAGGAAAAGATCACAAGGTATGGTAATGGATCAGGATCCTCTGCCATAAGGCAGAGTGCCTTGCGTCATCCGACGGCAGGGACGCGATGAGGACGACCTCGAGATCGGCGAAGAGGTGGAGCCCAACATCTTCGGCCGTCCAATTCCCGATCGAACGGCCCGGAAGAGCAAGGCACCCTGCCTTGCTTTAAATCAAGGCAGGGGCTCCGGATCCATATGGTAATAGACTAATAGTAGTCCCAAATTTTTGTTAATTGTGATGGGAGATCCGGTAATAGACTTGGGTAGATAGGGTAAACATGCTTAACATCGTACGTTAAAATATTGACTTTCTAGTGAACATGCTTACTACTAAGGCCATCTCAACCTCTTGGGTAGATAGGGTAAACATGCTTAACATCGTTCATTAAAATATTGACTTCATTATATTGTTTTTGATCTTTCAAGAATTCACCTCTAATCCTTGACTTTGATAGAGTTCTTAGGTTCTCAAAGCCGTCGGTTCATCTCATCATCTCGGAAATCCTCTAAATTATTTATAAGCATTTAGTAGTCCCACACTCCCACCCAATTCATCATAGGAGAAATATTATTCGTAGTATATCATTTGAGAAAAAAAAATCCGAATTTACCTCCTTTTTTGCTTTGAATGCAAGCCTTACGGGATAAATTTAAGTGTGAGACTGTGAGTGGGACAAAATTCAACTTCTGATCACTTAGGACAAAATTCTAATTCTACTTCCTATACGGCTATACTACACACACATCACAAGTAAATCGTTGTGGTGCTAGTATTACCACGTTGGGGGTAAACGGGTTGCACATACAGAGTATATATATTTGAAAAAATGACACGCATATTACTTATAGAGTTTTCTCGGACAAAAATATGATTAGTTATGTTTTTGAACAAAAATATGACTAGTCAGTATAGTGTATTTTAGAATGACAAGTCACTCTGAACTAGTCACTAAATATGTCACTTTATTGAAAATTTTAAAATAAGTCATATTTTTTTTTCTTTTGAATCTAATTTAGTAAAATTCATGGAAAAAGGCATATATGAAGCATAATACTAATTCCATCCTACATTCCTACTCGACTTTACCAAATTGATGTTCAGTGCGAAATTATAATAGTAAAAACCGTGTAATTAAGTTTGTGTACAAGAGATAAAATAAACAGAATCACAAATTATTATTTTAAAAGAAAAGCGACAAAATTTTTCGAGACGAAAATATATTGAAAGCTAGAAAAGTCCCGTTCAACAAAGGGAGCAATGGATTTATGATTCCAACTTCATCTGATATCTGGGAAAATATTGGGTTATGTATAATGTGTACCTTAGCTTTTGTGCATTTTGTGTAACACTAATTTTATTTTTAGATTCCGGAACACATGATCATCATTATTTATTTAATTATATTTAAAATATGCTAACATGTATACATAATCTTGGATTGTTTTTCTTAGCTTTCTAAATCATCATTAAAATGAAATTTTATGTTTTAATAACATACTCCGTATTTTAAAACATATCCCGACGAATCGGACATAACATGCAACATCAAATGCGCGTTTTAAACATGCTCAATTGTAGACTTCGATGTGTAAATCGTACGAATATAAATATTTTTGTCCACATAGAAAAATCCTAAAAAATGTACTACGTAGAATATATATATATATACCCGGCCACTTTTTGTTCTCTACATAAGCTGATTTAGAAGATTTTCTGTTGAATATTTCTCATCTGAATTTTTTAAGTTCTGATCTGATCTGATCTGAAGTTTTCTGATCTGATCTGATCTGAATTTTGCTGATCTGGTCTGATATGATCAGAATCCTTCTGATCTGATCTAAATCTATCTGATCTGATCTGATTTGAATATTTCTATAATTATAATTATAATTATAATTATAATTATTATAATTACTATTGTAATTATAAATATAAATTAATTAAAATTATAATTATAATCATAATTATAAAAATATAATAATAATAATTGAAATTATAATTATATTAATTATACCTATTACACTAATTATAACTATAGATTCAATTACAATTGTAATAATATATTTAATTATAATTACTTATATAATTATAATTTTAATCATAATTATAATATTTATTTCTATAATAATACTTATAATTAAAATTAATATGTTAATAATAATTACAAAACAATAATAATATTATTAATAATTTTTATATTAACAATAATAATTATAATTATAGTTATAATTATAATTATAATTATTATAATATTATTATAATTATTATTATAATTATTATAATAATTATAATTATAGTTATAATTATAATTATAATTATTATAATTATTATTATAATTATAATAATAATATAATAAAAGTAATATAACAAACATAATACTTCGTAAGATACTCCTGTATGCGTCTGTATGACTGTATGCATGTGTATATAATTATATATAAGTGACAACTCCGGTGCCTTTCTAAAATATGGGGTACCGTGTCTATCATTCATTTGATTGGATCACATCACTTTATTATTTGTAATTGGAAAAATTGACAAGAATAATCTCACCTTTCACCGGTCTTTTCCTAATAATCTCACCTTTACGTAATCCAAGAATAATCCCACCTTTGGAACTCATCTTCTTTCATTGGACTATGGCCTATTGATGATCTACAAAGGTGAGATTATTTATATAAGATTTTCAAAAAAAGGGTCCAATGAAAGAAGACGAGGTGCAAATGTGAGATTACTCTGAGATTATATAAAGGTGGGATCATTATGAGAAGATGAGTGAAAGGTGGGATTATTCTTATAAATTTTTCTTTTTTAATTTAGATTTAAATAATTCAACTGCTACATTCTCATTGATTTATGTGGACAAAGATATGGTATACCCAGGGGCGGACCCAGGAAATCCGTCTTGCGAGGGTTCAAAATATTTTTTGGGGGGCGAAAATTATTTTTTGAGGGGCGAAAATTATTTTTCGTGTATATATACCCTAGAATTTTTTTTGTTGGGGGGCGGTTGCCCCCCTGGGTCTGTACTACGGTCCGCCCCTGGGTATACCTTATGGGTACCATATAATTTACCTTATATATACATAATATATATGATAATGATAGTTTCTTTACCAATTACATGGTGCGGCGTTCCATTTGTCCAGGTGATGTCTATGTTTCTCTGGATTTCCACGTACGTAGGTTATATATGTGTGTATACCCATGAAAACAATCTCAGGTTTTCTGGGAAATTAGAACTACGACCTTAGCTTGCCAAAGCATACATACATACCATCATGGTTTGTTCATCTGCAAATAAGTCGTCTTCTACATTGAGAAAAGGAGCATGGACTCAAGAAGAAGATAATATCCTGCGAAAGTGCATTCACAATTTTGGTGAAGGAAAATGGCATCTCGTCCCTGCTAGAGCCGGTAATGCACTCGGATTGATTTTATTATTATATATTTAGTGTTCTTGTAATGAATGTTCAAAATTACTAATTAATTAACTTCCAACTGCGTATTATTTGATCTAACAATTGAAAAAATCTAAAATTTTAATTTTAAGCGTCCCTTTTTGTTAGAGAAATGTCAGGTGTACCTCATTTTGACTTTGTTTGCAAGTGATTGTGCTTAAATAAATAAAAGTACTTTTTTGAAAAAAGTGATTAGTAGTAAAAGTTGGTAGTGTTTGGTAAAATAAGTGTTTTTTGTGTAATAGAAAAAGTAAAAAGTAGATGCTACACGGAAGCCGAGAAAAGTAAAAGTTGATATTGTTTGATAAAATAAGTGCTTTTTTATTTAAAAAAAGCCACAATCACTTAAATTAAGTGATTGCAAACAAGCCCTTTGTGTACCTCACTGGCACAAAGTGTCTACGTGACATAGTTTCGTTTTGTCTAATTGATAAAATTAGACAAAAAAGTTAGTGTGGCCGTATCACTAACTGGCTCTATAGCGTATCATTAAAATTGATAAAATTGATAACTAAATTGATAAAATTGATAACTAAATTGATAAAATTGATACGGCCACTTAATTGGCTCTATACCGGTTTAGTCTAATTGATACGGCCATAATTATTGTCGTGTAAATTTAAAATAGTTAGGGTATGTTTGGCACAACCACCTAAAAAGATACTTTTGTGAGCTTTTTAGTAACTGTTAATTTTTAGTGACAAAAAAGATTTTAAAAGGAAATGTGGTAAAAAGATGACCATTTGATATAGTTCTGTTTGGTATACAAGCTGTTAAAACTAATTAATGCTAAAGTCACGGACTTTTCTCAAATGCTACTCCCAGTAACATCTCAAAAAAGATCTATAGTTTTTTTTTTTTTGAAAAACTCTTAAAAATAGTCATGTGAAACATACAACTAGAAGTTTTTAGAGACTTTGTTTTAAATAATATTAATGCTAAAAGATTACATTTTCATATATTATTTTTATTACTTAAATTATTGTCTCATACTTTTACACGCAAATGCCCTAATATACGCTTGTGATGTGTGATTTGTGTTACAGGGTTGAATAGGTGCAGGAAAAGTTGCCGATTGAGATGGTTAAACTATCTCCGTCCTGATATAAAGAGAGGTCATTTCGGTTTGGATGAAGTTGATCTCATCCTGCGCCTCCATAAACTCCTAGGCAATAGGCAAGTTCAATTCAACAACTAATTCGTACTCTTACAATTTATGGTTGGACTAGATGCTTGGAGGATCATTCATTTCACTATCACATACTCATTAAGTATTGGCCCATTTGCAATTGCTCCTGTTCCCCAGCTACATAATGCCCGTCTGCTTCCATCCATAATTTTATGGTGACAACTCCGGTACCTTTCTAAAATATGGGGTACCGTACCTATCATTTATTTGATTGGACCACATCACTTTATCATTTTTAATTTAGATTTAAATAATCCAACTGCTACTTTCTCATTGGTCCATGTGGACAAAGGTATGGTACCTTATGGGTACCATAGAATCTACCTAATTTTATTTTTGAAAAATACTACTGGTACACGCCAAATGTAGTAAAGAAAACTGTGTATCATTCGAAAAAGTGAATTTCTATACTACAGACAATTCACTTTTTCGGGGTCATCAACAATTCTTTTTACTAAAATGAAAATCAATTGTGTGTGCATAGACAAATGCACTTGGTGTGTAAGCCGGCGTGTACAAGTAGAATGTTTGTATTTATTAAAGAATATATACACGTACAATAAAAATGCAATTGTTTTGAAAAATGAATTAATAGTAACTTTTAATGATTATGAACATGAAGTTATGCACATAATAACACTAGTCTTTTATTCTTAATTTTATCTGAGTTATATTCTACAAAAAGTACTCTTTTTTAAATGTATAAATCTATGTCGAAAAATTAAATTTTATCAAAACCTAGTAATTACATTAAAAAATATTCACTAAAACATTATTAACACTAGTCGTTAATTAACACTCTCACTTTTGTCTCATCTTTACCTTCTCACTGATTCCATCATCAGTTAATTAGTTATCGTATAAAATAATTACTTTTGTCTCAACCATTTGACGATACATACAAATATGCACAGTAATCTCCCTGATTTAAAAATACGTCGAGCCCATGTGTTATAACTTACTTCGTATAATGCAAAAAAAAAGGGTATATTTAAGGTCAAATAAGATAAAAGCGTTTCTTATTTTATACTTCGTACTATGTAATGGTTTAGGAATCTTGATAATTTTATGAGGGGAAAATGAAAACTAATAATCCTTTTAGCGGTCTTCTTACCATAGTCTCACTTTTTCATTATTCATGAATAATCCAACCTTTGCACCTCATCTTCATTCATGGGTCTCTGACCGATTGATGACTTGTTATTCCAAGTTATTTTCTTATCTTTTCAAACCATTATATCATAAATCTCACATTTCACAAAGATAATATTTTGCAAAGATAAGAAAATAACTTGGAATAGCAGGTCATCAACCATTCATGAACCAGTGAATGAAGATGATGTGCAAATGTTGGATCATTCATTAATAACAAAAAGGTGGGACTATGGTAAGAAGACCGCTAAAAGGTTGGATTATTAGTTTCCATTTTCCCTTTTATGAGCATGTTTAATCATACTATTAGGAAAAGTGATTTTAGCACTAAATTAAATATTTTGCTTTATGTACATAATTAATTCTAGCTCATGGGAATTGAATCTTTTGTAATCACAAATGACAAATCCATATACAAGTAATTTGTATATAATGAGCTAAGGTTGAGTCCATACGTCCATTGAGTCTGGTTTCAAATGTAATGGGAATGGGACAGAAGCTGTAGTGTAATGGTATTGTTCATTGATAATCAGCATGTTTAAGAGCATTGTGTACTTGATTGAATGTGAAACAAATGGATCGTACCAATCGCAAATTATTGCCTTTAAAGGTAAATAGTTAACTTTAAACACCAATTTATTGAGCTGATTCAATGATTATGAACTAAAATAGGTTGGACACAGTTCTATTGATCAACAGTAGTGGTCGTCAAATGGCATAATGTTTTGAATAGTACGTGTGTTGTGAGTTAGAGAAAACAATAATAACGATCTATTTAATGTGTACCATTTTGCACACCATATACTACAAGTACGTATTAATTACTACTAGTTGAATTCTGCCTTGAAGGTCTTCGATATTTTTCATCGGCATATGAACGATATGAAGTTTTTTTTAGTTTAAATACTGTTTAATGATGTACGTAGTTATTCTTCATCTCAATGTTTTAGCTATTTATTTATTTTGCTCAAAGATTTATCATCATCATCATCATCATCATCATCATCATCATTTTACAAATTAACCATTTTGTTTACTAAGTTTCATGCTCTATCACTACGAAAAAAACAGGATTGACATAGATATTTGTAAGAAATTTGAAAAATTCATGAAGGATTTAACAGAGATATACCAAATCTGTGTAAAAAACACTTTGACACGATCTATTTGACACACAAGCGGTTAATCCGTGTCAATCCTTTAATTTTTTTTGAAATTTTTTTGAAGTATATAAGGGTTTTCACTTTTCACATAGTCAAGCGTGAAACTGTAAGCACACTACGTCACTACGTAGATAACGCATCGGACTTAGCTTGATCAAAAAAATAGACGAGAGAACATGAAAGACCGTGAAAACTGAAAGCTACATAAAGATTAGAAGATGGAGATGGAAAAGGTAAATATGAGCCCATTTGGTAGCACGAAAATCGACTGATTTGGCTGATTCTGCTGATATTTATGAAGTTTTGGCTGAAGTGACTCTATTGGCTGATTCTGTTTATTTAGGAAAATATGGAGTATTATTTTTAAAATATATTTTATTAATAAAATAAAGTAAAAAATATATGTAAAAATAGCTAAAATGGTCATCTACAGTAACTTCAGCCAATACAGCCAGAAAAGCAACCTCAATCTTACTTTTTCTGCTTATTACACAATTCAGTGCGCAAAATCAAAAGTTACATGTTTGGTGAAAATTGGTAGATAAGTCTTATAAGCCGAAAAACAATATTGCCAAACGACCTCTATAAGTAACGAAAAGTGAAAACTATGTATGAGAAGGAAAAAAGTATTGTTACACATTTTTTGTACACACACTTACACACTCGTGTCTATGAAGTTTTTTTTTTGTCTGTATACAGATACAACGCATTTGAAGTGTCTGTGAAATAAGTAGTGTCTGTATACAGACAAAACAAAACACTTCACAGACACAAGTGTGTAAGTGTGTGTACAAAAATGTGTACCTCAAACTTGGTTGGTATGAGAAAGTAGACCAATTAAAGATCAATCAACTACGTATATTGATATAAACACATATACACACATGTGTATACACAATTTTTGATTCACTGATTTAATTGGTAACGTACTTATCATATGTCCTTTACTGAGCATATACTTTAGTCACTCAAACCTAGACCTACAACTAATAAATTTGTCCACGTTAAAAGACTCTTTGAATTGCTAACGTATACGGCCCCCATCCTGCAAAATAGTTCCAACTTTTCTTTTCCGATCGTCCCAAAAATTAGTTCTCATTTGTCTTTTTGGAAAGTTTTGTTTGACTCGCATTCATTTACTTTTTATTTTATCCAATCACAACCACACATTTCCACTTTATTCTCGCTTTCTTAAACTCCGATCCAAGTCAATGCGGGAACTGTTTTATGGGACGGAAGGAGTACTATTTTTGTGTGAAAACATGAGTAAAAACTCTTTACTCACATGTGTATATAGTGAGTATAACTTATTTATGTTCAAGACTAGAATAAAACATATCTCGTTTAAATAAATAAGATCAAATCAGATATCGATAGATGTAAAAGAGCTATCAGAGCTAACTATCTATCAGAGCTAACTAGTTCTGACTAAACTAGATTCAGGTAGTCAGATCAAATCAAATCAGACCAGACTAAAAAAAATAATCCAAATAAAAATATTGTAAAACATACAAACTTTTCCTAGATAAAAGTGTTGTTATTTTCTTTTCAAAATATTAGTCATTCATTGTTTTTATTTTGGAACATGTACACACTCATTCATTCCTATTTGTGAAAGTTTTAATACTGTAGTATTAATTTATCAACAAGAGAAATTTCTCCTCTTGAAATAAATGAAAACATGTTCTTTTTTTATTCACCTAATCCTATTTTAGAAATAAAATATATTTTTTTTGAAAGGAAATAAAATATTAAAACATACTTGTTCCTGTTTTTTGATTTTTTAATCCTACAATTTTGGGAGAAATTTCTAAATTATATTAAAAAAGTTGTGTAAAATCTGTTAGAATTCTTTTTTATCGACCCTCTATGGGTATATTCTTATTCATCTATGGGACTGTGTAGGTGGTCGCTTATAGCCGGCAGAATTCCAGGAAGAACAGCAAATGATGTGAAGAACTACTGGAACACTCATCTTCAGAGGAAGAAGACAGAGTTTCCCATGGCGGCTTCTTCCACGCAAGAAAAGGGGAAGAGGAAAAAAGCCCCCAATATTTCAGAAAGCTCTGCCGTCATCAGACCCCGCCCTTCCAGATTCTTAATCAACCCCGCATCTCGAAAACAGTCGACTGCCGGAGACAGTACCGATGATGTTCCGGCAGCCCAACACGGCACAGCGCCGCCGGAACCACCGTCAACGTCGTCGCCGGTGGATTTGAGGCGGGATGATAATTTCCACGAAAGGGCTGATTTAGTCACAAATCTTTCGCCTGAAGAAACTTTATCCGATACGATGCAGTGGTGGGAAGATTTCCTCGTGGGTGATGAAGAAACCACATCCATAGAGGAAGGGGAAATTGGTTGGGGAGATTTTCCCATTGATGTGGACCTTTTAGAGCTTTTAAGTTAATAAGAGGAGATTTAATTAACAAATCTAAGAGAATCTCCATAATTCATAGGGTAAATTTTTACATGTGAGATCCAATTTGTATCTCATATTTTTTTTTGTAAAAATATGAATGAAATAATAATGACAAATATATCACTACACTAAAATTTATGAATAATTATGTGAATCTTTATATAAAGTTATCATATTGGAACAATATAGTGCTTGTAGAATTGCACAAAGATGTTTGGCCTAAACAATTGCACAAAGATGTGGAAATAATAATGACAAATATATCACTACACTAAAATTTACTACTATATTCTTTTCTACTATTCAAAAAATGTGGTACAATTGCACAAAGATGTTTGGCCTGAACAATTGCCCTATATAACACTATGTTTAAAAAACCGACCCGACCCGGCCGGGTCGACCCGGAACCCGGTGACCCAGACAAAAATCCGGTTCGGTTTCTTCAAAACCCAAAAATGGTCAAAAACCAGAAAAACCTGGCTGACCCGAAATAATCCGATCCGGACCCGACCCAAGAAACCCGGAAAAACCCGGTTTTTGGTCTTTTAAAAAAAAGTAATTTCTTTTTAAATTTTAATGCATTTTTTTAAACCAATAAATTTGCAATTTCAATTCCCTAAAAAGAAAAACTATGTAATATATTTATATATTTATTTAAGAATGAAAATCATGCCAAATTATAATATAAATGTACAATACAAATAAAAATATATAATGAGAGTGTATATAATTATATGTTTATTATTATATAGACGTATAATCGTTGACCGGTTTTCCGGCTTTGACCGGGTTGACCCTCCGGGTCCGGGTTGACCCGTGACCCAGTCACATGACCGAGTCGCTCACCGGTCCGATTTTACAACATAAGTATAACATGCAAGAATAAACTAATTTTTCATAACGTTGTTGGTCTAATACAACCTTTCACCGTCCACGTATAATAAAAGCTTTATAAAAGTGCAATTTTGTAAAATGCACTTTCCTACTTCCAAACTTTATGTCTAATTTTATTCAAATATTTGTTTTATGCATATAAATGTCATAAATGATGGTTCTCTAAAAATGAGTATTTGCCCAGCGGTGACTGTGGTATTTATGGGCTATTCTTTTGAATGTTTTTTAGAGCAGTAACATGCAGCCCGGGTCGGTCCCGAGAAAATGGAGACCCTGTGCAACAATAAAATTTGTATCTTTTTTTCAAGTTGCAACACAAGTAAATTGTAATAAAATAAAAGTTATAAATAAACGTAATGGTAAAAATAAAAGCAGTCATTAATAACTTACATTTCATTTAAAAACATACATTGTTCGAGCATATTTAGATGCAAAGTCATCTACCAAACTAGCAATGTCAAACTCTTCGAGTGTTTCAAATTCTATGTACATCAACGTCAATCCATTGAGTCTCTCTTGTGACATAGTTGACCGCAAGCAGGACTTCAACAACTTCAACTTGATAGCAAACTCTGTACGCCATAAAGGCATTTGGAAAACAATTCGAAATTCTTGTTGTCCCCATATTTTCTTTTGGCAAAATCTAAAAATAACCGACTATATCAAGTCAAATGGCTTGATTGATTATATTTTAAGAAAATGAAGAGGATGAATTTGGAGTGATTTTGTAACCCTCCAAAATCCTTTAAATGTTCAACTTTTATATTCCTCTAATTTGGAGGGTTTTGAAGGGTAATTTGAAGTGATAATTTAGTCCTAATTTAAAATGAATATCAACTAAATTATTTGAATTTGTCATATTTCAAGGTGATTTTGATTATATTTTCTTCAAAAACTCTCTTCTTCCTAATTTATTACTCCCAAATATCAAGAAACGTTTCCTCACTTTCCCCTCCAACAACAATTCCCTCCAAATTCAAAGTCTTTCCCTCGCCTTCCCTCCAAACTCCCAAACATACCCTTAGGCCTTGTTTGGTTCAAAGGAGGGGAGGAGAGGGGAGAGTCAAGGAGGGAAGGAAAGGTAAGGGGAATGAAGGATTTTGAAAAAAAATTGTGTTTGGTTGGAGGAAATAGAAGAGAATGTTTAATGTAAACATTTTCTCAATTTACCTTTATTTGATAGCATATTTAAAAAATAAGATACATCTCTAATTATTGTGAATATTACTATTAAGGTCATGAGTCATATTTTTTTTTCCTTTTGACTTTTTTTAATTTTATAATTTTTAATTTTTTAATTTTTAATTTATAAAATTTTTAAACTTTTTTAATTTATTTTTTTATTTTATTTTTTATTTTTTAATTTTTTATTCCGGTAATATTTAATTTTTATGATAAAAAAAGTAATTTTAATTTTTTAATTTTTTAATTACTCAAAACTCTTTTTTTTTTATCTTTTTAATTTGTTCATTCATGTATGAGACATATCGTTTGTGGTTCTCAACACGTTTCATCCGAAATACCCCGATTTGGGGGGTTTAGAATGTGAGGAAGTGGAGGATTTTGGAAGTCTTTCACTTTCCTCTCCTTCCCTCCTATTTCATTCAACCAAGCACACACAAATCACTCACTTCCCTCCCCTTCCCTCCGAAATCCTCCAACCAAACAGGGCCAGGTCATGTTGGAACGGGTATTAATGCTATAGGAAGAAAAGGGGAGCAAAATAGAAAGATAATTTTGAAGGAAAATCCAAAGTAAAAGTAGTTCCAACTAAATAATTAAATCTAAATCTTCCTATAAACTTATATTACATGTACTCCGTATTATATAAAGACCAAGAAATATATGTAAATAACCTAATTATAAGTTTTAATTTTTAACCAATACAGTAACAAAGCTAACAGTTTTGCAACATTCTACCAAAATTTGATAGTGAAGATATGGCATTTCAGCAACATACACAACTGATTAATAAATAACCGAGGCTAAAGTTTCTGTAAATATCATAATACTCTATGAGCCCGTTTGGAGAACTCTGTTTTTCGGCTTATCAGGCTTATCAGCCAGCTTTTTCACCAAACACGTAACTTTTACTTTCGCGCGCTGAATTGTGTAATAAGCCGAAAAAGTAAGGTTGGAGTTACTTTTCTGGCTGTATTGGCTGAAGTTACTGTAGAGGACCATTTTAACTATTTTTACATATAATTTTTTCTTTAATTTATTAATAAAATATATTTTTAAAATATTTTTTTCTTAAATCAGCAGAATCAGCCAAAACAGCCACTCCAGCCAGAATATCATAAATTTCAGCAGAATCAGCCAAAACAGCCGATTTTGGTGCTACCAAACGGGCTCATATCTTCCTTAGCTTTGTTAATTGTTATCACTAGCTAAAGTTTTACTCATAAACGGTTGACTCAGAAATTGTCTGAACCTATAATATACGGAGTATTTGATTATATACTATTGTTATAAGACATTTAAGACACAATATTATAATTAGCCGTTAAATATCTCTATCATTTAATATAGTATTTTTACTTGTCTTATAGACATGATTAGTACTTGTATAAATAGCAGCTATTGTAAATCATTTAGACACAGAAATATATTAAAAATATTTGTTTCTCTTGTCTCATAAGTATGTCTTCCTTACCTGAAGAAAGAAACAAATGAAATCAAACATTCAAACGTAACAAACTTTTATCCATTGAAGAAAACCAAATGATTTCAAACACTCTTACTAGATGAGCTGCTCTTTAATTTCAAATGGGGTACCGTTGGCGGCAAAACATTCTTATATAGTTATATGAGACCTTAATGTAGCCAACCAGGGGAGTGGATTCAAATCTTATGATCCAGCTTTGCCTTCACCAAAATGGACTATTTTGCGGTGAGGACTCGTCGGAGACCAAGCTCGGCGGCGACGGGTCAAATCTTGCTGACTCGCGATTTCTTTTTCAAAATTTGTCTATTATTCTTTCAAGGTGTGAAGTTTGTACCCGACTATGTGTTGTGGACTTGTTTCTAGGCTTCAAAATTTCTCTCATTTCAGAGTCGGCGGCTTCCTTGTTGGATGAAGTTGGGAAGAGCGGCTTGAAGAGAGACTCTTCATTATTTTGATCGGCACCGATGATGTAGACAGGAATGCGGTGGTAGCACCTCTACGCAACACAGTGGTAGTGTCACCGGTTGTAGCAACTCGACGGAAGTGGTGATGTCACCGGCAGTAGTAACTCGGCAATGAGATTTTGTGAAGCCGCTAGTAAGCCTTTTGTTTTCTTTTAAACTCCTTTAATTTAATGGCAGATTGGCAGCTGGACTAACGTGAACTATAACGAGCATGTAGCGGGCTCCTTAAGATTTTTGTTACTTTTAAGATTAGCGTCATATGAACTATTAAAACCATAATCTTCCTTGATTAAGAGTTAAGACTGGATGGGTCAATGACTCTTATTCTAAGAACAAAGTAATACTCCGTAGTGTTTCTTATCTATATATTTCAGCTGTTTTTACTATAAGAGCATGTAGCTTGTTTTTTATTCTATTGGGATTTTTTTTTCGTTTTAGATGTAGTAAACAATAAAGTAAAACTACACAAATTTATTACTCCGTGCTACGTACTAAGTTCCAAATTTCGCAATGCTTTCAAGGTCTCGTTTCTAATTTAAGATTTTCAGATAGTACAATATAATTAAAAAAGTAGTATTAGGATGCAAGTTAAATGTTTTTAAAATCAAATTTTTATCAACTACGGAGTACTACATTCATCTCTGGGCGGCTCAAGTGCTCAACTAGACAACATTTCTAATTTGATTATCACAAAGTTGCTATATAAATACCTAGTGAGCAGCAGACTCCATCTTCCAAGAGAATAAATAAATTAAGCAATGAAAAAGATAAATCATGTATTGGTATAAGCTACGTTTAATTGTGCAAAAAAAACAATCTTATCAAATCTGCGCTAAAGCACAATACATTAAAACAATTAAAAAGTCTTGGCTCAAAGAGAGTACGGATGATACGAAGGCATATAAGATACTTCTTTGAAGAAGAATTGCATTTGTATGGAAAAAGCGAGTTATCAAATACTGGCACTTAATTACTTATTAAAACGATGTAGAAAATTTGAACTATCAACTGGATGGAGTGAGGGAACAGTAAGCATAAGCATTGCGAGAAATATTACGGAGTACCACAACAAATTTTCATTTCAATAATAATCCATGAGCATTACACATTTGCAAATATCTAGAGTTAAATAAGGGTTCACAGAAAATTCTACCGAGTCAATAATTTAAAAGGTGGAGTGCGCGTTCATAGACAAATGAGTACAAAGAGACATGACAGTCGTTTCCCATAGCCATTTGTCAGTTGCTAGTTGATAGAAGAGGGTCACTGGTCCACCTAGTTGAAGTTCAACGTTTCCCTCCTGCATTTTATAAGAATTAACAGAAACATATAATCTTTTTCCAGACAACAAAATGATACAAACGTAGTTTTCATGCGTAAAAAATGACATGATAAGAGACTGATACATGCAAGAGATTAGGAACAGAGAAAGAGAAGACTTACTATTGTGCTAAGAGACTGTCAAACTCTACAAAATTATTATATGGGTAGCGCCTGTAATGTTGATGGTGCACATGCATTAAGGGTGAGGAAAAAAGAACATGACGAATGGAAAATGGAAAATAGAAAATAGAAACACAAGACTGAACAGCATCATTACTGGATGAGAGAAAATAAGGAGACGCAGTAGTAGCCGGTGGTACTTACAATGACTTAATGTCGAGTGCAAAAGCAGGTCGGGGAGGAGGCTGTACATATGCTGCTTCCGTAAGCAATTGCAACACACGCCTTCCAATCTGACAGAGTGACAGTCAATCATAATGACGCCTTCCGTGAGAACATACATATACTACCGAGCATTTATGGAAGACAGGCATAGAATGGTCAGATAGACACATATACAGCACACTGTAGTGGGAAAATCTACTCCAAGTGAATGCCTATTTTCTATGACACTTAGATCATGTATTTATCCATCAAAGGATGGTCACTTTAGTACTAATCATTGGTTGCTAACAACATTTGTGTAGTCGACTGTCTAAGTACTGCACCAGTTAGTACGATCCCCCTCCCGGCTTAAGGTTCTCATTGAAAAATGACATTGTTACTTAGACAATAATTAAATAAAGGTTATTCGAGTGTATTTTCACAAGTAGTTTTGATGGGTATTTAATCTAATGAGGTCATTGCTAATAATTGTGACGTTATAGGTGACCCATTTTATTCGAGGATTAAGTTGTCGTTAAAGAGTGCTAATTATTTAATTTCATAAAACAAAAATGGAAACCTTTAACCGGGATGTCCAAAAGAGACAAGTGAGAAGCTGAAGCTGAAGCTGAGATGGATGGAGTTATTCTTTTTTGCTCAAAGAGATTTTATTAACTCTAATTGAAGAATCAGGAAGAAAAAAAACTGCAAAATCTTTTCCCTAGTATATAAGCATTTGTCTGTAATAAAGTGTGATGTCCAACTTAATGATTACAATGAAATGATGGAGAAGAACATTAGCACAAACATATATGGTTAATGATAATGCAACAGCAAGGCCCAAGATATTATTAAATAAAGGATACCTTCTCATACATAGGGAAACCCCAGTCTCGTCCCTTAATCACGACCCTCAAGGGCTCATACTCTCCTCCCTTCCACATTTTAACAACTTCTTTCTCCAATTTCTTCAGCTCCTCTTCAGCTTCATCACATCTGCCATCCATCCTTTCTCGTTTTTTCCTAAGCTTGGCTTTGGTTTTTTCGAGAAAACTATGTATCCTTGCCTAATTGATATTTAAAAACAACATAGATATATATAGACACACACACACACATATATATCATCAAACAATTTTTGTCACGTTAAGAAATGACAAATAATTTTTAAATAAAGCAAATAATAGATCAATCAACTGAAGAATACAATAAAGTCTTTTAAACAGTTAGAAATTCCCTTCCCTACAAAATCCCCGAACCAAACAATCTCTTACACTATACAGAGTTGATAATGCATGAGTGTCAGAGTTTAAATAGAAAACTAACACCAGTACTAACCTTAAAAGGTTAAGCTCTACAACATAAACATCGACAACCTTAAAGGTTGCGCCATACAAGGTAAACATTGATGCAAGAGATAATAAAAGTTATTGACATTACATTTAATTATATAAGAATAAATTCTACATTCCACCACACCGCCTCTTCAAAGTCAAGGAAGGTTGGTGTTAGGATCAGGGGCTAAGGAGAATAAGAAGAAGAAGAATACATTATAATAGTAAATAATTGGTATAGTATATTAAAGGGTCCTGGGCCAGATACTTGTTAAGTGTTGGGCTGGCCCATAATAAGTATAAATAGAAGGGAGAGGGAAATAAGAGGGTAGACAGAAATCAGATTTGGGACTTCGGTCTTGGGAGTGCTGGAGACTACTCAAAGTGTTTCCATTGTATCGATCTCTTTTCACTTCATCAATTCCATCTTTAATTCTACTTCACTTTACTGTCAAATTGTTGTGTACCTATCAGTTGGGCGCTTAGAATGGGATGGAATTCCCAAAAAAAGAACCTTGCACGACACCCTTTCTGAAACATTTTGACGGGAAAAGGAATAATGTAGAACCTTGATCCGGCCAAAGGCGACTTTCATCTAAAAAAGCAACATCTAGGACATGTTTACTTCACCGGTTATTAAACGGTGCTTATTAAGACCCGTGTTAATACGCGGCGCATAAAATAAACAATGTTGTAAGACCGTGTTTACTTCAAACGGTTTAAAACACCGCTTAACATTAAAATGTCCAAAATAACCCTATACATATACATACACACAAACATTCATGAACACAAGTATATAATATAATATGTGTACCCATACCCCTAACCCCTTACCCACCCTACCTTACCCCGACCCCGCCTACCCCTACCCCCTACCCCTACCCTACCTACCTGACCCCACCCTACCTACCCGACCCCACCCTAACCTGTCCCACCCTACCCCCGACCACATAGGCCCCCATAGGCCCGTAGGGGTAGGGGTAAGGTGGGGTCGGGTAGGGGTAGGGTAGGTGGGGTAAGGGTAGGGGTGGGGTAGGTGGGGTAAGGGGGGTGGGGTCGGGGTAGGTGGGGTAGTGGGGGTCGGTTAGGTAGGGTAGGGGTGGGGTAGGTAGGGTGGGGTCGGGGTGGGGTAGGGTAGGTGGGGTAGGGTGGGGTCGAGGTAGGGGGGGGTAAGGGTAGGGTGGGGGTCGGTTAGGTAGGGTAGGGTGGGGTCGGGGTGGGGTAGGGTAGGTGGGGTAAGGGTAGGGGTGGGGTCGGGGTAGGTGGGGTAAGGGTAGGGTGGGGGTCGGTTAGGTAGGGTCGGGGTGGGGTAGGTAGGGTGGGGTCGGGGTGGGGTAAGGGTAGGGGTGGGGGTCAGTTAGGTAGGGTAGGGGTGGGGTCGAGGTAGGGTGGGGTCAGGGTAGGTGGGGTAAGGGTAGGGGTGGGGTAGGGTAGGTGGGGTAAGGGTAGGGGGTGGGGTGGGGTGGGGTCGGGGTAGGTGGGGTAAGGGTAGGGTGGGGGGTCGGTTAGGTAGGGTAGGGGTGGGGTAGGGGTGGGGTCGAGGTACGGTGGGGTCAGGGTAGGTGGGGTAAGGGTCGAGGTGGGGTAGGGATAACAATAGGTTACGGGCAAGGGGTAAATTCGGAAACTGAAAAAGCTTAAAGTGCCGCTTAATTAATACATGGGGGGGTGGTATGCTTAATAAGCGGCACTTTAAGCACCTCTTTCGGTTAGTAAGCGGCTTTTTAAGCAGTGTGCGTGTTTACTTCACCTGTCTTACTAACCTAACTGTGACTTTAGCAGTGAAGTAAACACCTCCCTAGGCCTTACCTATATGAGTTTGGGGTCAGGTAACATGAATCGATATATGAAATCAGAGGCGGCCATCTTCTGTTCTGGCGGTCGATGTTCTCTGCGCTGCTCCATTTTTTTATGGCGCCAATGTCCACCGAAGCTTCCCGGGGTCAATGGCTCTGATACCAAATGCTAAGAACCGATCTTCACCGTAAACCAACGTACAACAGAAAACAGAAGGAAAGAGAAGAAAATACAGATTGAGACTCTTAGAGAGGCCTCACTCTCCCAGCTCCCAGCCCAAGTCCCAAGTTCTGCCTACCTCCTTCTTACCTTCCACCCACTCTTATATTAATTCTATTATAAAGGGATGGCCCAAACCCATGACTTACATGGCCCGTAATCCTTATTTTTACACTACCACAATTACTTAAAATCATTATATTAGTAATACTATTCTCTTCAGTCCAGAATCTGATCACGTGCACTGTCACGATAATAAATGGTGGCCTCCAGTATGGCGCAGTAGAGTTCCACCTCAAGATTACATAACAAGAATGAGACTAGGTGACTACATTAACCATAGCCATACGCATTAGAGCATGATGTGTCTGTTGGAGTTCGGAGGCTTAGGAAAGAAGGTTGACACCAAGAAACACACTGTAACCAGAGGTTGACCATTTTGAATAGGGCACCCGCCCCACTCTGCATCAAACTAGGCTGCAAAAGGCAAATGGGTAATGTAAGAAGGATAGAGATGCATAGTGAGGGCTAAGTTGCCGTGTATGTAGCGCAAAATGCATTTCAGAGCGTGCAGTACATGTACGCTTCCTGTGGCATCCTTATAATGCATAAAAACAAATACTTGTGTGGCATCCTTATAATGCATAAAAACAAATACTTGTTAAACATTACAGTAGATATCTGAACGTGTATAAGGGAGATACTGCAAGACTCCTTGTGATGTTGGGGTAGAAAGTGAGATCGGCGATTGGGGACCAAAAGAGGCAATGTGTTGCACACTAGCAGCCTAGGCCAACGGGTGCACAATCACATGTTCGACAATTTCCTCGTAGCAATTCCATTGTGAAAGAAGTCAAAGAAAGAGACCACATTCATGTTTCCTATTATAATTAAGAGTCCCATGGAATCAGAGGCAGTAATCCCATAAAGAACTAAGAAGTAAAGAAGATGTTGTCTACATGGATACACAAATTGTGAGTGATGAAATAAGCTATGAACAAAGCTGACTAGTTTCAACGACTGTAGCAAAAGGTTATGTGCCGAGTATGTATGAGTCCATATAAAAACTTACAGAGCCGGCATACAAAATGAGGATGAGAAGCGTCCAAAAAAGGAGGAGGCAGATACATGCATGCTATATCATCTAGATTGGTCGTATGGTTCAGTGGTTCTCCAAAACTCCTTCTTCAGTCAAAAGGATGAAATAAAACAAACTTGATACTATCTAAAATAAATAGGCTGAAACAGATTCAGAAAGGATGATACAACGCTGGAGAGAGCAGGGGGGCAGGGGGTTGGATGGTTCTGCCACAACCCAAATTACCAAAGGTGATGCTTCTTCCTCTAGTACTCAAATCAAAATAAGATGAGAGAGTACCTACGCTAGACGTCATGGGAAACTAACCACACTAATCTTATGGATTAAGCTACACATGATAAATATCTACACAAGGGATAATTAACAATTGGAGAGAAGATGTTTATGAATATGATGTATTGATGTGTATTTTATCAAGATAAATAAAGGGTAAGGTATTCATTCAGACCTCCATCTCTATGTTAAATCCGATAGAGGTAGCAAGGGAATAAAGGTGCACTGATCTACAAGGGCGACTACGTGCCACAATCACCCCAACCTTCAACTCACGGAGCGTAATCTCTGCAATAGTTTTGGCATCCAACTGGACCAGATACCTGGCATATGAGGCCTTCTTCTCGCCCTGCAGGCACAGCTCTTGCTCCTTGGCTATGGCCACCCGCAGAGGCTCAACCCAACCTGCGAAGAGCGTTTCCAGGTGCTCCGGAACAACATTGGTCTTCTTCTTCGGCTCGTTTCCAATATCTTCATCCCCGTCATCCTGTTCTTCTCCGTCAGCCTCGTGTGAAGAACTAGGCACCTGCTTCGCAGCAGCCATAGATGCATACCCTTTGGGGCCACATGGACAACCCCACCTCTTAAAGACAGAATTGGACAAGGTTTCACCTTTTCGGCAATTAAACCAAAATCCTGCTATGGCCGTGGGAAACCCAATTGGTTGTTGTGGCCTCTCCACCATCCCCGGCAGTGGCAGACCCGGGCTACGATCCCCCGCTGTGAAGCATAGTGCATCACCACGCCACCTCCGGTGTCGTGAGAAGGCCTGCTTGATGGCGACGAGGCTGCTTCTTTGGCATCCCATCACGTCCCACCCATGACCCCTGTCTGCGCCGATGCGGCAATAACAAATACTCCTTACTCCCTAACAAAAAAAATGGCCTTTATAGTCATGGGCATAGTGTAAATGTACAAATAAGACTATAAGTCAAATCTTTCACAAATAAATTAAACATTAATTTTTTATCCTTATTATAGTTTCTCCAATGAAATACTCCGTAATTACAAATTTAAAGCTAAAATTAAGATTGTTTACAAATTAAGATTTCTGGTGATGAGAATAGTAATGAAATCATAATAAGTTATGTTTAACTTTTAAACTTCAATTAATATGACACTACATTGTAATAACTATTAGTCATATTTATTTAAATAAGATTTATTGTGATAATATCTATTTATATTATATACTACGTATAAGAAAGTGAATGTCTAATTAAAATACATATTTGCCCCTTAAAAAATTTACGTGTCATTCTCTCCACAATTCACTCATTTGTTATACAATTGCCATGTGGCAAATTAAAGGACTAATAGGGAACATCTATATTATATTATTATTATATATAAAAACGGAATAGTCATAGACTATTTAGGCGGGAAGTGCTGAGCGTATTGGAAGCCATATTGAGCGGAAGCATTGTGATTGTGAAATAAAATACAGTACTAATCAATTGCTTTTTTGGCTGAATAAACAATTATTAATCATAAATGGCACTCTCGGTAAATGCAAAGGTCATTGTTGAGTGGATGGAAGTCTGTTTTGGAATATAAAAAACTGACCCCACCTTCTGTTGCAAATAAATGAACCGATCAAATAAATAAGGGCTCAGGCAAGGATCTATGGAATATCATTGTGGTAAGAAGGCCGGTGTTTTAACTTCATAGACTGATATATGACGAGGGAAGGAAGTTCCATGTGTGCTCCAGAAGCAGAGTAAGAGAAAAATTTTTGTAGGTTTCGAATTTTGCTTGAAAAAATTAAATATTTTATATGTAGTATTACTTTGATATAAGAGAGAAAAAAATTCTAATGTTAAAGGTTCTAACAAGACATTGGAACAAGAATAATAGTTGATTAGCAAAACTAACGAGTTGTCTTTTACCTGGACCGTTTCTATGGTTACAAATGGAGGCTTTTAAAATTGATAAGTGTCAAGAATTTAAAAAAAAATAGCCTGAAGTGCATTTTTTTCTTTATGTTCATTTTTACAATTTCGTATTTGGAATTTATAAGAAATAAATTGAAGATGTATAATCTACTACTCCGTATTCAGTTTAATCTAGTTATTTTTGTTAATGTTTTATGAATCAGAGAGTGTTTTCTTTATGTGCAAGATGTTTTAAAATAAGGAGTGTTGTGGGAGGGAACAAAAAACAGGGTCTCAAGTCCAGGTCAACTAGGCCATATGAAAAAATATGAACAAGTGGCGCTGATGTATTAATTTCCGGCGGAATTATTACTTTCCGACATAAATGTCCTGAAATTGGACAAATATGTTGATTAGAGGATGTATTATGCAAGTAAATGAAGTTAGAGGACCAATATCGGGCACCACCAAAAGTAACGGGACTAATTTTACAAATTTCCCAATAAATAAATAATTTAAAATTGAAGTGTATTGGAAGCCTGTTTTTGGAATAATTTAAAATTGAAGTGTATTGAGAATAATTAATAATGTAAATTTTTTAATAGAGTGAATGTGTTCAATTTTGTAGATCTTACATTGACTGAAGATGAGGAGAAGAACTTTACTTTGAAATTCAAAAATTGTTGAGTAGTTGCGGGAGGAGTTTGGATGAATATAACACCATGCCGGTTCCAGATAATAGATTCTTATCAAATAACGGCAATCGATTGGTGTACGATGAGCTGAGGTATGATCGTAAAAAGTTGGTTGAGGAGCATGCAAATTTGCTGGGTAATTTGACTAATGAACAAAGAGTTGTCTATGATACTATAATCAAGGATATTGATGTTGATCGTGGTGGAGTCTTCATTGTGTATGGGTATGGAGGAACAGGGAAAACTTTTGTATGGAATACTCTTTCTGCAGCTATACGTTCAAACGGGGAAATTGTATTGAATGTTGCATCAAGTGGTATCGCCTCACTTCTGCTGCCAGGTGGTAGAACTGCGCATTCTCGCTTCAATATCCCGATTAATCCCAATGAAGATTCTACGTGCAACGTAAAACAAGGAAGCGCACTTGGCGAACTTCTTATCAAGTGTAAGCTTATAATATGGGATGAAGCACCAATGGTACATGTTGGGATATTGGGTCCAGGCCCAATACTCCCGGCCCAGAATACAAGGAAGTCAGGAGAAGACACAGGCCCAAAGCAGTCAGGACCTGATCGGCGTTCGGCACATTTCTTCTACTTGGAACATTTCAGGGAACAACTACGCCTACATCCATGACGGGGTCCCGCACACCGAACGCCCTACCCGAACGGGTAGTCAGCAAGTGGAGGCCGCATTTAATGCAAAAGCATGACAGCAGCAAGTGGGGGCATGGGTTCCTACGTGGCAGGGGGCACAGCCTACCGGATTCAGCCACGTGTCCAGCTTTCACATCCCCATTTTAGTATAAATACCTGCACTAAGAACATTGTAAAGGGTTAGCATTTTAATACTCAGAGCTTAGCAAGTAGAAACACTTCTCTTATTCTCGTATTCTTGTACTTACCTGCTTTTCGGGTAATTTCAGTGTAATCGCCGAATTATTGAATGCGAGTGGGCTTCTGAGTTGATTGATATTTCACTGTTTTACATTTTATACACTCTCCAAACCAACCCAACATCCCTACAATATCCAAAGTTTGTGTTGGGCTTTCGGATCTTCGGGACTAAACCTCAACATTGGCGCCGTCTGTGGGAAACGAACCCACGAACGGGCGTAAGAAAAATGATATGCGCGAACAGGCCGGAGGGATAAGAAAAAATAACAGCCCAAGGAAAGAATACAGACCCGAACAGGGTAACCGAACAGAACAAGGAGGTACCTAGTGGTGGCAAATTTTACTGAAAGTTTGCATATTCCCTGAACGGGCATAAGAAGAGATAGGAAGAATACCAGGTACATAAGCCAAGATGAATCGCAGAAATGGCTAAAGTCCTAAATGTTGGACTTATGCTAACAAGAGCTACATGCCGAACGGATGGAAAGAAGCGGAGAATGGATAAGTCGTAACCAGGGCTACATATCGAACGGGAGATGAGGGTTCAAGGAAATGACTAAGTCCTAAACATTGGACTCAATACCGGAATACAATTTCGAAACGGGAAACCCAATCGCTATGACAGAATAGGAGGGGAGTGGGGATCAATAAAAAATAAAACAGCCAAGTCCCAAAAGCAAGGCAATGAACAAATAAACTACAAAGGCAAATTGATGGGCAAAAAGTTTTGTATATTCATCGGCTCTACTGACCGGAAATTACAAAGCGATATTAATGAAGTAAGAAATAAGGACACTACGGAGGACTAATGATGTCTAAAACTACTGTTCGGGGTTATCCTCACCCTCTTCATCATCATCGTCATCCTCAGCATCTTCATCTACAACTTGGACAACCTCCATCCCTAGGGCCCGCCTACATTTCTTAATCTGCACAGTCAGAGCGTTTGGGTGGCCGGGGTGGAGATCGGAGAAGTCAGATGGTTGCACCGGTCGGCCCAAGTGCTTTTCCAGGAGAGGAAGGAGCGGTTGGAGCATATATTGGCAGCCTGAGCCATAGACCCCCTAGGCGAAGGTCTCAGCCCACTCCTTGGTCACTGGATGCCGATCAAGCACCTTGACCCCCTCCTTCTGGCGCTCCTCGCCAGCCAGCTTCGCCAGGTGCTCCCCGAAGACGGTGGGGAGCTGCTCAAAAGCATACGCCCGGAACTCTTCCGAAGTCTTGAAACCTTCCCGAACAGCCGACAGATCAACAATCACTTCAGCGGGGCCGTCCGGGATTTGTGAAGGCGCTTCCTGGAACTTGACCTGAGCAGCTTCTGCCGCTGCAATCTGGGCCTGGAGGGAGGCCACTTTGACGCGAAGCTCCCCGACTTCGGCCTCTGTCCTCTTCCGCTCCTCAGCGAAGGCCAGCCGTTCAGCCTCAGCTACACGGACGGCGGAAGAAGAAGCTTGTTCAGCATTCTCCATGGCCATGAGCAGATCTCGCTCCTTGGCCAGCCGGGCCTCACGAATCTTGAGGCTGTATATCCCCACCTGCACACAATCAATCAGAGTTAACAAAGATGAACGCGCAGTCAAGAAAGGAGATACGGAAAAGGGACTGACATGGGAATTACCTTGAGGGCAGCCAAGGTTAGGCATTCCTCCGCTTCCTCGACCGGGAGCTGGGGAAGAGAGAAATCGTTGAGTTCAACGGAAGTAGACCAAACCCGGCTCGCCGGACAACCACCCTGCTCCAGCATGTCATGGGCGGGATCCTTGAGGGAAATCCTCTGAAACTGCCGGGCCAGGTCAGACTAGTGGGCGGCCACCTCCTCAGCAGAGAAGTTATGAGGTTGCTGATCGGAGAAAAGCTGATCCATCAGCATGTCAGCATGGGACGTTTGCTGATCAGGAGCAACCTGCTGAACGGGGAGGACCTCCTGGGCAGGCTCCGGCTGCTCAATAGATTAGGAGGCAGCTTGGGAGGAAGTTGTCTGATCGGCTTTCCTCAGCCTCTTCCTCTTGGTCTTCCTTCTCTCCTGGACAGGAGGGGAGACCTGTGGCTCATCATCGACACCACATGAGAACAGCCTACTATCGTCCATGGCTGGTTGATCAGGATTGGCCCCTTCAGGTTCTAAAGACTCGTCTTGGTTGGGAGCTGAAAACAAATAAAGGAAAAAATAAGTACCGAGCGGTTCACACGTGGATGAACAAAATGTTTTCTCACACGGGAAGGACCGCCCGGACCATGGTACGTGGTTTTCAGTCAAGTAAGTCCAGGAATACGGGTAGTACCTATCCCGGCCTTGATAAGCCGTTCGGGAGTCAGGTAGCTCATGATCTTAAAGCACCTGCCGGCCTCCACAGCAATGGTATCCTTGCTAAGATCTTCGGATATGAATGGGTCGGGGGGCTTCGGAGGAAAGGCGTTCGATTTTCTTGGAATTAGACCATTCGGGACGGAGACAAAGAAGAATCTATCCTTCCAACCCTTGATAGAGGATGGGGCATCACAGAACAGGATATGCCCCGTTCGGGCACTCACCACCAAGAATCCGTGAGCTTGTTGAGGGATGACCGAAAAAAATAGTGGAAAAGCTCTAGGGTGGGTGTGACCTTAACGTGAGCGCAGCGACAAATAAAACCGGCTACTGCCCGATAGGAGTTCGGCATAATTTGGGCTGGCACTACGTTGTAGAAGTTTAGCAGGGAAACAAAGAAGGAGTGGAGTGGGAACCTAAGGCCAGCCTTAAGGGAATCAAAATGGACCACAACCATCCCAGGGAAGCGGCGCATTGGGTGGAGGCCCGCTTGAAGACGGAAGTCCACCGAGTCCGAAATTAACATTTAAATTGGGGCCCTATTCTGGGCCGTGAGTTTTTGGCGCCTAAGTCTAATAAGGGCTAGGTCAAGTTTATGACAGGGAACGCCGCTGGGAGGACCGGCTTCCATAACCGCCATTTCATCCCCAGATTTGGTGCCATCAGAGTAGGTTCCGGAAGAAGAAGCGTCATCGTGGGGGACCTCTGCAGGAATGGGGGCGATTCCGAGTGCGGCACCATGGTTATCCCTTGGAAGATCAGTGTTTGAAGTGGAAGTTTCGGAGGGACGAAAGTGAGGCGCCATACTTACCGAACAAGAAATTAAAAGGGAAGAAAACGGTCCGGAAGGTACCTGAACAAGAGCTACGATTAGACTCTAGAGAGAAGGCAGAGCAACAAGCCGAAAAATGCAAAGTTTCGAAACCCAGAATCAAAGCTGGAGAAGCCTATTTATAATCTGACGCGCCGATTCGCCAGCCAATCAGAGAAGGACACATCGCCAATAATGATGACGAGGACACGTGTCACGCGGAGAAGCCTCCCCAAATAATCATGACAGTCATCGGGAAATTAAAACAGCAGCCGCATAAAACCGTCAAAATATGCCTCGGGAACTGGTGGAATACCATCTGATACATACCCGAACAGCATTCGGGCAATAATCTTCTACTTCTTTATGCACTCACTACCGTTCGAGACATAGGAAGTGGGGGACTAGTGTTAGGATATTGGGTCCAGGCCCAATACCCCCGGCCCAGAATACAAGGAAGCCAGGAGAAGACACAGGCCCAAAGCAGTCAGGACCTGATCGGCGTTCGGCACATTTCTTCTACTTGGAACATTTCAGGGAACAACTACGCCTACATCCATGACGGGGTCCCGCACACCGAACGCCCTACCCGAACGGGTAGTCAGCAAGTGGAGGCCGCATTTAATGCAAAAGCATGACAGCAGCAAGTGGGGGCATGGGTTCCTACGTGGCAGGGGGCACAGCCTACCGGATTCAGCCACGTGTCCAGCTTTCCCATCCCCATTTTAGTATAAATACATGCATTAAGAACATTGTAAAGGGTTGGCATTTTAATACTCAGAGCTTAGCAAGTAGAAACACTTCTCTTATTCTCGTATTCTTGTACTTACCTGCTTTTCGGGTAATTTCAGTGTAATCGCCGAATTATTGAATGCGAGTGGGCTTCTGAATTGATTGATATTTCACTGTTTTACATTTTATACACTCTTCAAACCAACCCAACATCCCTACAATATCCCAAGCTTGTGTTGGGCTTTCGGATCTTCAGGACTAAACCTCAACAGTACACAAATATTGCTTTGGGGATTTAGATCGGACACTCTGAGATATTTTGCGATTTAGCAATCCTTCAAGTTTATAGATGCCCTTTGGAGGAAAAATTGTGGTGTTTGGTGGCGATTTTAGGCAGATCCTTCCTGTCATTCCGAAAGGAAGGAGACAGGATATAGTTAGTGCATCCATAAACTCTTCTTATTTGTGGTAGCATACAAATGTGATGCGTTTAACAAAGAACTTGAGGCTTATTCATTTGCCAGGCAGTGATCAATCAGAATATTTGATTAAGTTTTCTGAATGGATTGCAAGCATTGGAGACGGTACAATTGGAGGGTCGAATGATGGTTTTGCAGAGATTGAGATTCCTGAGGAGTTCTTGATTACAGAGTTTGAAGATCCAATAGCTAAAATGGTTGAATCCATTTATCCTGATTTTGGAACCATTGATCATGATCCCAGTTATTTGGAAAAAAGGGCAATATTGGCACCAACCCTTAATGTTGTTGATTCTATCAACGATTATATGCTCACTTTTAATGGTACTGAGTTGAAAACATACTTAAGTTCAGATAGTCCATGTCAGTCAGATGCAAATCTTGATTTCTTGGCTGATATTCACACTCCAGAGTTTTTAAATGGAATTAAAGCTTCCGGAGTTCCTAACCACCAATTGCATCTTAAAGTTGGGACACCGGTTATGCTAATGAGAAATATAGATCATTCACAAGGTTTGTGCAATGGAACTAGGATGGTTATCACTAGATTGGGCAATCATATTTTGGAAGCAAAAGTTTTGACAGGAATAAGTGCAGGTCAAAAGGTCTTAATACCTAGAATGTCTTTGACACCATCAGATGTGAGGTTGCCTTTCAAGTTCCAGAGGAGGCAGTTTCCAATTATTATCTCATATGCAATGACAATAAACAAGAGTCAGGGGCAGTCTTTATCTAAAGTTGGATTATTTTTGCGCAAACCGGTTTTTAGTCATGGTCAATTATATGTTGCTCTTTCGCGTGTTACTGATCCCCGTGGTTTGAAGATTCTTATATGTGACAAGGAAGGTAGGACCGTAGGAGTACTAATGTAACAACAAATGTTGTATTTCATGAAATCTTTCAGAATTTGTAAAACACTTATAATTTTTATGTTTTAATGTACTTAATTTATTTGTTTCCCAATTTCTTAAACCCTTTTGATATAAATTAGGGTTCTTTTATTTATATGTTTTGTGATTTATATTATTAATTCCCAATGAATTATTATGTGTTATATACGTCAAATTTAATTAATTTCATATACACGAAATTTTTCCCGTGCATCGCACGGGTCATATACTAGTTAAGCAAAAACGAATGAAAGCATTGATATTCCTCTTTATTATTAGCAAACGTGGCATTTATTAATACGGGTCCCATTATACATAAAATACCAATTTTTTCAAACTCATATAACTTTTGCATTTTTTCTCTGATTTTCATAAAAGATATATCAAAATTCATAATTTTTTACGATCTTTCATATGACACCAATATTGTATATATATAATTTAGAAATAACATTTAAGGTTTATTTTTTTATCATCAAATCCAACTCTTATATTAAAACCATTAGGGAAAGGATCGTTACAAAAAACTCAAAAAGACGAACAAAAACAATCTCTAACCAAAAATCATAATCGACTCTACGGCTAGACTCTGAGACGATCACTCCAGAAAGAACAATACGAATCGCTAACTATGAAGCGGGTGTGACACAACAATCACTGACCATATAGGCCCTTCTAATGACATAATATCTAGCAGAGTTGACAATCATTATTGTAGGCCTAAAACTAAAGCTCTCAACAAAAAACGAAACGCCGTAAACAAACATAACACGAAAATAAGACCATAAAAATAGAATAACTCACAAATATTCCAAACTTCTTTCTGACTGTTCTCTTGAAAAATCATCTTCCAAACCCTGACTTCTCAATCAGTCCAAGGCCGCGGTTCAGGAGGTGGACGAACCGCCAATCTGTATTCTCCCTTGTTCAGCCCTTTGTCGCTCTGTGCACTGCTACGTCTCCTCGGTTCTTCCATCCAAACACCACGAAATTGCCGGTCCGAAGCAGAAACTTCATATGCCTCCTTTGTCGCCTTCCCTTCCGGATTCTCTATGCTGAACTTAAAACGGATGGCCGGAAACCAGTCACGCTCCTCGGCAAAAGCCGATAGCGTACGATCCAAACTAGCGGCTTGCCCTGCAGCAACCCTAGAGAGAGAAAACGAACCATCCTATCTGTTAAGTTGTTGTTATATAACATTTAAGGTTTATTAAACAACCTTCCTATTTTCAAACCTTGATACAGATTATGACGTATTAAATAAAATAAATAATTCATAATGCATAACCAAAAAAACAAGCCTAATTGATAAAAATATAAAGATTATTCTGTATTAAATAAATATAACTTATTAGTTTTTAGTAACTATAACTGTGTTTAGAATTATATCAAAGTGATTATGAAAGTGTGTACATAGACACTTTTCTAGTTGAGTTGACTCAAGTTATTGTAGAAGATCATTTTAGATACTTGTAAATATACTTCTGATTAAATACAATTTTACCCTTAATGGATTTTAAGTGTCAAGTCCTCCTTAATTCACTCATTTTCTATAAGAATGCGACGTGGCCTTTTTTTCACTCCAAATGTACGAAAAATGAAGGGTGGGCATAGGGAGATGTATTTGGTGCGGCCCAAGCTTTAAGGAACCCCAAAAAAATTTAAAGTGTTATAATTTTTTCATTTTTGCTCCAATTTTTACAAAAAATATACTAAAATTTTTACATAATTTTTGAATATATAAAAACATAATGTATTAATGGTCTCTATAATTATGTATAAAATAATATATATTTATATATAAGAAAAGAGTATCCTATTAAAAATTTGGTTTTACCTCCAATTATTATGCAACGTGCCTACCTTCCAGTGTTGGAGAGCATTGCTCTACTATGCCACATGGCTTCATCTTTTGCATTTTTGTTATTTACTTTACAAAAACGAATTAGGGAGATAGAAAATATAAAAATTTGGCCTACTAACATACCTTATCATTTTTAGTTTGTTTTAAATTGCTCTGATCTATTTTAGATTATCTTTATTAAATTTATTTTCTGATTATATCGACTGAAGTTACTGTACAAATCATTTTTAACTACATTAAAAAAATACTCAAAACGCTAACAATCGAACGGTAAAGAGTAACTTTAAAAAGAAGAGAATTATGTAATTAAGTAATGAAGATGTGGAAGACATTTTCTCTCTCATATATAGTGCCTTTAGGTAGATAAGCCGTCTAACCATTGAGAGTGATAATTTTCTCTCTCATATGGAGTGCTTTGAAGTATAAGTCGGTTTACAATTGAGCGACCAAATTTTCTCTCTCATATGTAATGTTTTTAAGTATAAGAAGATAAGTCGTCTAACCATTGAGTGAATAATTTTCTATGATATATATAATGCTTTTACGTATAAAATAAAATTTTAGGTATAAGAAGATTATGTCATAATTAAGGAGGCTAACAATTGACTGAGAGAATTTTAGCTATCATATACTTCCTCCGTTCTTAAATAAATACAACGGTCAACATTTCACACTTGCCGAGACACAACTTTGACCATTAATATAAATGATTTTGTATTAGTAAAAAAAATTAAAAAACTTAGATTATGAAAATTTACAATGAGACAAGTTTAACAATATTTTTTTCATAAAATAATATTATTACATTAATAAATAAAACGTAGTCAAAGTAGAACATGTGAATAGTATAAAAGTCAAAGTGTTGCATTTATTTAAGAACGGAGGTAGTATAATGCTATTAGGTACAAGATAATCCGCCTAACCATTAAACAGCATAACTTTGTCTCTCATATGTAGTGCTTTTAGATATAAGAAGATAAGTGTACTAACAATTGAGCGAAAGAACTTTGTCTGTCATATGTAATTCTGTCACTAACAAGTGTGGTGAAGTTTTTTCTCTGCAATTTGTAGTGCTTTCAGTATAATGAAAGCCGACTAACAATTGATTGAGAGAAATTTCTCTCTCATATGTAGTGATATGATTTTAGATATAAGAAGATAAGTTTGCTAATAATTGATCGAGAGAATTTTCTCTCCCATGTGTAAAGATTTTAAGTATTAAAAGATTAGAAGATAAGATTGCAACAATTAAGCAAGAGAATTGAAGTGTGTGGAGGGGTCTCTTTCTCTCATATGTAATACTTTTAGGTATTATAAGATAACATTGCTAACAATTGAGCGGGATAGCTAGCTTTCTACCTCATATGTTGTTGTTTTATGTGTATAAGATAAGATAACATAAGCCGACAAATATTTTGAGAGGGATAATTTTCTCTTTGGGAAAACTGTCAAATAGGTCCTCGAACTTTCATAAAAAAGTCAATTAAGTCCTTCTATAGGAGACTTTGTCCGGTCGTCGCGATTTGGGGCGGTTCCCGGTGGAATTTTTTGATGAAATTTTTTGAGTATCTTATTCATCAAGTCTAGTTTACTCATACCAAATTTCACTTAAAAATTTAATCGGGAGCGCATTCAAATTAATTCGAGAACGCAAAAATGCGCAGTTATTTTCAAGAATTAATTTGAATGTGTTCCTGATTGAATTTTTAGCTGAAATTTGGTATGAGTAAACTAGACTTGGTGAATAAGATGCTCAAAAAATTTCATCAAAAAATTCCACTGGGAACTGTCCCAAATCACGACGGCCGGACATAACCTCCTATAGAAGGACTTAATTGACATTTTTATGAAAGTTCGAGGACCTATTTGACAGTTATCCCTTTTCTCTTTCATTGTTATTGCTTTTAGATATATAAAGCTAAAAAAAATGAGCTTGCTAACAATTGACTATGAGAATTTTCTCTTATATGTAATGTTTTTTAGTGTAAGGTAAGGTAAGCCATCTAACAATCGAGCAAATAATTTTTCTATCATATAGTGCTTTAAGATACTCCGTATAAGATTTTAGATATAAGAAAGACTAAGCCATAAACCGTCTAACAATTGAGCGAGAAAATTTCCTATCTCATAAGTAGTTTTTAGGTATAGAATTATCCAACTAATAATTGAGAAGAATATTTTTCTCTATCATATTAAGTGTTTTTAAGTATAAGACAAGTTAGCTAACAATTGAGCGGACAAATTTTCTCTTATATGTAGTTCTTTTAGGAATTAGAAGATAAACTTGATAACAATTGAACATAATAGTTTTCTCTCTCATATATAATTCTTTCAAGTATAAGATAAGCTGGCTAACAATTGAGCTGAAAAATTATTCTCTCTCATATGTAGTACTATTAGAGATAAGGTAAGCCAGCTAACAATTGCACGGCAGAACTTTCTCTCTCATATGTAAGGGGGTTTTAGATATAAAAAGATAAGTTTGTTAATAACTGGACAGGAAAACTTTCTCTCATATGTAATTTAAGTGTAAGGTAGTCTAGCTAACAATCAAGTAGGAAAATTTATCACACATATGTAGTGCTTTTAGGTATAACATAAACCAACTAACAATTAAATGAGATAATTTTCTCTCATATGTAATTTTTTTAGATATCACAAGATAAGCTTACTAATAATTGAGCAGAAGAATTTTATCTCTCATATGTAATGTTTTTAGGTATTAGAAGATAAATTTGCTAATAATTGAGTGGGGAATTCTTATATATGTAATTCTTTTAAATATAAAATAAGCCGGCTAACAATTAATCAGTAGAATATTCTCTCTCGTACATAGTGCTTTTAGGTATGATATAAGATAATCCCGCTAACTAACAAGCGAGAGAATTAGGTAGGATAATTTTGCTCTCATATGCTAGCACTAATTTAACTAATGAGTAGCAAGTTCTTATATAAGTAATATATATTACTATTAAAAAATTTACTGCACATTTGCAAATATTTTAGAGTTTTATACTAGAGTTAAATAAGGGTTCACAGAAAATTCTACCGAGTCAATAATTTAAAAGGTGGAGTGCACGTTCATAGACAAATGAGTACAAACAGACACGACAGTCGTTTCCCATAAGCCATTTGTCAGTTGCTAGTTGATAGAAGAGGGTCACTGGTCCACCCAGTTGAAGTTCAACGTTTCCCTCCTGCATTTTATAAGAATTAACAGAAACGTATGATCTTTTATCAGATAACAAAATGATACAACCGTAGTTTTCATGCATAAAAAATGACATGATAGGAGACTGATACATGCAAGAGATTTAGAACAGAGAAAGAGAAGACTTACTATTGTGCTAAGAGACTGTCAAAGTCTACAAAGTTATTATATGGGTAGCGCCTGTAATGTTGAGGGTGCACATGCATTAAGGGTGAGGAAAAAAGACCAGCATCATTACTGGATGAGAGAAAATAAGGAGACGCAGTAGTAGCCGGTGGTACTTACAATGACTTAATGTCGAGTGCAAAAGCAGGTCGGGGAGGAGGCTGTACATATGCTGCTTCCGTAAGCAATTGCAACACACGCCTTCCAATCTGACAGTCCATCATAATGACGCCTTCTGTGAGAACATACATATACTACAGAGCATTTATGGAAGACAGGCATAGAATGGTCAGATAGACACATATATAGCACACTGTAGTGGGAAAATCTACTCCAAGTGAATGCCTATTTTCTATGACACTTAGATCATGTATTTATCCATCAAAGGATGGTCACTTTAGTACTAATCATTGGTTGCTAACAACATTTGTGTAGTCGACTGTCTAAGTACTGCACCAGTTAGTACGATCCCCCTCCCGGCTTAAGGTTCTCATTGAAAAATGAGATGGTTACTTAGACAATAATTAAATAAAGGTTATTCAAGTGTATTTTCACAAGTAGTTTTGATGGATATTTAATCTAATGAGGTCATTGCTAATAATTGTGACGTTATAGGTGACCCACTTTATTCGAGGATTAAGTTGTCGTTAAAGAGTGCTAATTATTTCATTTCATAAAACAAAAATGGAAACCTTTAACCGGGATGTCCAAAAGAGACAAGTGAGAAGCTGAAGCTGAGATGCATGGAGTTATTCTTTTTTGCTAAAAGAGATTTTATAGACTCTAATTGAAGAATCAGGAAAAAAAATAATGAATAAACTGCAAAATCATTTCCCTAGTATATAAGCATTTGTCTGTAATGAAGTACGCTGTCCAACTTAATGATTACAATGAAATGATGGAGAAGAACATTAGCACAAACATATATGGTTAATGATAATACAGCAAGGCCCAAGATATTATTAAATAAAGGATACCTTCTCATACATAGGGAAACCCCAGTCTCGTCCCTTAATCACGGCCCTCAAGGGCTCATACGCTCCTTCCTTCCACATTTTAACAACTTTTTTCTCCAAGTTCTCTAGAAATTCATCACATCTGCCATCCATCCTTTCCCGTTTTTTCCTAAGCTTGGCTTTGTTTTTTCGAGAAAACTCTGTATCCATGCCTAATTGATATTTAAAAACAACATAAGTATATATAGACACACATACATATATCATTGAACAATTTTTGTCACGATAAGAAATGAAAAATATTTTTTAAATAAAGCAAACAATTAATGAAAAATATTTTCCATCTCGAGACCCGGGCTATGCACCTGACCACAGTAACACACTCAATATTGTATTTCATATAATGATGTATAGGTATCCCACTATTTAAGTCTATAATACGCGAACAACTTGAGAGAGTCTTCCTTTGATCTCCTCCTTCCACTCCCACTCAAATCCTTCCCCAGCCATTCCAAAAATCTTAATGAACTGAGATTCCAAGTAATTTTTAGGAGATTTTTTTGAAAGATTCCATTAACCGCACAATGGATTGAAATTCTAAAATCAAATACCCTTAACAAAGTTCTCTAGAAATTCAAAAACAATCTTTAAGAAATTTATATATCGGAACCACAAACGAAGATAGTAGCGTCATAAAAAAACAAAAGGTGATGGTTCATTCAAAATGGAACCCGAATTGAAGTAACACAACTTTAAAGTCCTACATAAAATACAAAATATTTTGTAATAATAATAATGATAGCTATCTCAATTACTTACCTCGTTGATGCAGTCCACTATCTTCAAAATCTGAGCAATTGTAATATCTCCATTAAATAGAGAGTGACATATGCTTCTAACCGGATGTTTTCAATCCTCAAGACAGAGTTTTTTCAAGTAATCTACATATCCAATGTGCTTGGGTTTAAAAGTAAGTATAGCAGTACCGCAACACTATACCAATCATGGGCGGGATTGACTGCATCTCCCTTCGTAAGTCTAAGGTATCGAAACGATTCAGTTCCAAACCCGGTTAACGAATTTGTACATGTGATTTATAAGTACTTTTCTCTTGGACATCCATCTACGGGGTTTGGAACTGAACCGTTTCGATACCCTAGACTTAGGAAGGGAGATGCAGTCTTTCCGGCCATGATTGGTATATGTTGGAGCACTACTATACCTACTCTTAAACCCAAGCACATTGCGTGATGTAGACGACTTGAAAAAACCATGTCTTGAGAATTGGGAACATCCTGTTAGAAGCATATGCCACTCTCTACTTGATGAAGATATCCCAATGGCTCATATTTTGAAGACAGAACTGCATCAACGAGATAAATAATTAAAATAGTTTATCATTATTATTACTATTATTACTAATTATTTTGTATTTTATGTAAGAGGACTTTAAAGCTGCATTACTTCAATTTGGGTTCTATTTTGAATGAACCATCACCTTTGCTTTTCTGATGAAACTATTATCTTCGTTTGTGGGTCCAATATATAAATTTCATAAAGACTGCTTCTAAATTTCTAGAGAACTTTGTTAAAGGTATTTGATTTTCAAATTCTTATCCATTGAGCGGTTAGTAGAATCTTACAAGAATTTCCTTTAAAATTACCTGGAATCCTAATCCATTAAGAATTATTGTCCCTCATGAAGATCTACTAAATATAGATTGCCGAGGCTATTTTTGGAATGAATGTGCGAGGGAAGAATTTGAGTGGGAGAGGAATGAGGAGATCATTTTCCGGTGCGAGGGGATAATTTCCCCCGGTCGCCCGTGGTTTCCTCCGGTGCGAGGGGATAATTTCCCCCGGTCGCCCGTGATTTACTCCGGTGCAAGTGGATAATTTCCCCCAGTCACTCGTGGTTTCCTCCAGTGCGAGGGGATAATTTCCCCCGGTCGCCCGTGGTTTCTTCCGATGCGAGAGATTTATCCCCCCGGTCGCCCGTGGTTTCCTCCGATGCGAGGGATTTATCCCCCCGGTCGCCCGTGGTTTCCTCCGGTGCGAGGGGTTTATTTCCTCCGGTCGCTCGTGGCTTATACTGAGGGGGCTTAGCCCTGGCCTTGTTTTGAGATGCTCCAGCTCGTTTCCTGCACCAGTTTGCGCCCAGGTGGCCAAATAAAGGTGAATGGGGGTAATTCGAGGGGCTCGGCTTGTACCACTTTGGAGACTTTTGGATGCACCCCGGTTTTCAAATAAGGGTCACCGGGAGTAGGTCGAGGAGTTTGTTTATATAATCCAAATCATCAAATAAAGATGTTCGGAAGATTGAAGCTCAGGTTGCACCCGGTTGGGGATTTTAACCCGCTAAAAATGGTGGTGATAACAATAATAATAACATCAATAATATTGCATTATTAGTAACCTCAGGGATTTTAACCTGCCATAATGGTCTTCACCACCTTGGGGGAATTTGAGCCGCCATAATGGTTGTGGCAATAATAATAATAATTACAATAATAATATTTAATTAATTTTTTTTTTTTGAAGGGAATATTTAATTAATTTAGTAACAATTTATTTGTATAAATAGGAGTATTGGACTGGAATAATGGACTTAGCTCTTATTTGGACTGGAATAATGGACTGTGATGTTGAAATTGGGCCGGAATAATGGGCTGTGTGGGCCTTTATTTCTTGTTGGGTAGCTCCTCCCCCAATCTCACCTAGCCATTGGTCAACCTTCTGCCAAAGCCTTCGCCAGCCCTCAAGTTTGGTAAGTGGGCAGAACCTTCGGCTCCATATGCGGCCAGGATCCTAAGCAGGAGCAGCACACCGGTTCAAATGTACAAAGACCGGTTGAGCCGTTTGTCCATCCATTGGAGCAGTAGCAGCGAGGAATGAAGACGGTGAGGTCCTCTCGGGCAGTGGCAGGGGGGAAGCTCCTTCCGGCGGAGACTGGCACATCCCTCAGGCGGACCCAACGGCAGAGAGATGATTACCGGAGCAAGCTTGCTAGGGCTCCGGCAGCGGCAGCGGCGGCGAAGTCGAGTCAGCAGGGGGTTCCTGGCAGCCATTAATGGTGGAGACCTTGAACTAGCTCACCCGACTCGAGGGGGCACTGTCCTACGGCGCTGGCGCAGAGGTGGGGAACAAGCTTCAAAGGGCGACCGGCAACCTTTCGACGAAGAGAAGAGCTGCGTGCCATGCCTGATGTAAGCCATAGCTTCAGGTTTGCTGGCGACGATGGCCACCATCTGGAGAGCAACATGTAAGTTTTAGAGCGGCGGCAGAGAGCGTGACCTCTAGCTGATGAACGGTGAAGGTGGTTTCGGCCTAGATCTGTGAAACACCAGACTTCTCTGGCTCATCTTTTTGGGATTTTTCAGACTGATTATGGCTGATTTCTTTGTATTTTGGATGATTTTTTGACTTTTTTGGTAGGAGAGCGTGAGCAAGAGAGGAGAGGAAGAAGATTGAATAGTAGTTAGGTTTAGAAGAGCTCCCGGAGTATAAATAGAGATACAACGGGCTGGACCGCTAATATGGGCTTGATAGGCCCAACTACATAAATGGCTAATATAGTACTTCTTCCGTCCCGCAATAAACTTCACACTTTGACTTCACACAGATTAAGAAAATAAATTTGACTTTACTGTGGAGTGCACTGTTTTGCACTGTTCAAACACTGTTTAACATTGTTTAACGCTGTTTGGACACTGTTTGGCACCGTTTTTATGTAGATAATTTGCCAAATAAGGAAAGTTTTGAAGTGTGAAGTTAATTTCGGGACTGCCCAAAAAGGAAAATGTGAAGTTTTTGCGGGACGGGGGGAGTAGATACAAATGATATAAAGACTGTACAACAATGTAAAATGCTATCAGGTAAGTGTATGTGGGCCGCTTTCCAGGCCCAATAGTCATGAGACCCGAGGGTCCAAGTCTATATACTCTATCAACTGTCTTCTCGGTTTTATTTTTAGATGAAATTTGGTATGGATAAACTAGACTTAATGAAAAATATGCTCAAAAATTCATCAGAAAATTCTATCGGGAACCGCCCCAAATGGCGACGGCTGGACAGAACCTCCTATGTAAGAGGAGATTTTCACTTTTTTGGTTAGTTCGAGGACCTATTTGCCCATTTTCCCACAAAAAAAAATCCACTTGGAAGTTGATTAATATGATATAATTACTTGATTAGTTTATTAATTTGTTTCGTTCATGATTGATTGTTTGATCTTTTAATTGTTGGTTGTTATCTATTGAGTGTTGATGTTATAATTTGTTAATTTTGTTATAAGAAAATTTTCGATTATATTTAATGTTTTTTTAAATGTAATTAATTTCAATGGGTAATAAAAAAGAGAGGAAGATTAGGGAAAGTGACACTAATTTAAAAAAGCTCAATGAAAATGTTTGTTTGTGTGAAGAACTAAAATTTTAAATTTCCTACTCAAGTTGAAAAAACAGAGAAGAAGAATGATTTAGTTGTCGGAAATGAAACGATTCACAGTCATCTCATCATTGGAGGGTGAATTTAAAAGTTGATAATAATTGAGTTAATTACTTAAATAAAACTAAAATATTGGTATAGTACACAAATAGGATCATCATTATTTTCTTCATTAATAAAAACCGCTAATACATACTCCCTCCGTATTTTTTGTTTCATACATTAGGAATGGCACAACATTTAAGGGTGAATAGCAGAGGTAATGAATAGTATAGAAAAAGTATGAGAGAAGGTGAAAAAGTAGGAAAGAGAGGATAAAAGGTAGAAAAAGTAAAGGTAATTGAGTATTTTTAAAGGAAAAACTTATCAAAAAGGAAAGTGTATGGAACTTTTAAATACATTCCAAAAAGGAAAGTGTATGAAACTTTAAAATACGGAGGGAGTAATATTATTGGTTTACACAGAAGAGAGTTTTTCAAATTTTATACATGTCTTGAAATATTATTATTATTATTACGATTATTGTTGTCATTATTGTTATATTATGCATGTTAGTTTAGACAAAAAAAAGATTTTACAATTTTTTTAAGTTAAACGCATTTTAAGTTTCCGCCCCTAGTCCTTCAAACATATAGGACCGACCCTAATTGTTCACTGTCTTGTTTGCGAACTTGTCCCATAAAAATGCTTCCATAGTGAAACCTTGCGGAGCTCAATATGCGAGGGAGCAGCGGATAGGAGGTTATGGCCAAAGAAGATGAAGACATGTCGGTGTTCTGTGTTTTGGAGTGATAAACCCACATGAAGAAGGGCATGCTCACACAAGGGATGACGACAAATATGGAATTTCGAGAGTATATTAATACTTTTATAGTTGTACCAATGACTAATTCATTAATCCATGCCTTCCCATTAAATTTTAAATATTTAACAATTGTTAAAACAATGGTACATTTTATGAAAATGTCTCATTGTTAAAAACAATGACAATATTGTCAAGCAACGTCATATTGAACATGTTTGGTGACCCTATTGTTCGAATAATATTGAAAAAAGTCATCACGTCGAACATTATTGTTATAAACATTGATATAACAAATATAAATTATTATATTCTACACACTGTCAAAATGTAGGGGGATGTCGGAAAATCTCACATTGTGCTATAAATAAGCACAAGTCAATGGCTTTCGTGACAATATATATCAATATATCATTACCAAAATGCAAGAAATATTACCACATTAAAAAATGAAACAATGTCAAATATTATTATTATAAACATTTGTCACAACAAATAATATTATTATATTGCAATTACTGTCAAGATGTAAGAAAATTCTCTTAATGTCAATGACATTATAATAATGACACCATAATAATGAAAATGTTATTGACGGATCCATGATTATCATGAAAATGTCAATGTTATAAAAATCATATAACAACATTCAAGGTTGGGTATCATAATAAATTGAGATTAGCTACCATGAATCAATACATGATATCAGATGTAAAAAGAATAAAAGATAAGAAAGAAAACAAGATAACATATGATAAAACAAAATAGAGATAAAATAAAATACAAATAAAAATGATAAGATAAAAGATAAAAAAGAATATATATATATATATACACACACACGCATACATACATATATATATATAATAAAAAACATAAAGAACATTAAATATATAACAAGATAAAAGAATGAAAAGATAAAATGTCGCCAATAACATATAAAAGAGATCAATCCTCGATACTTTAAAAATCATATTGAAAATAATTTTAGATATTGTCACAATGTCAAGAAAAATTTCGCCAAATTCACCACGTCAATGGTATAGAAAAAAGTCATTGTAATAATTACAATGTCAATAACAATGTCCTCATGACAATGTCTATGTCAAGAAAAATGTAACAATATCCGACACTGACATTATAAACATTTTCAAAACAAAAAATGTCACAAAATTTTAAACATTGTCAAAACATAGAAAAATGTCACATTTTCATGTTGTACATTGTCATTATAAACTTTGCTAAAATAAATAATGTTAAATGCCCATGCCAAAACAAACATTATCAAAATGTAGGAGAATATATCACAGTATCAAAAAATGTTACAAAATGAAATAATGATGATGTCAATGCAAACTATAAAAATGGAGAGCCCGGTTGGTAATAGCTAAATCAACTCCACTGGCTAGTTGATAACCACAATAATTACTTATGTTTTACATAAGTAATTATATTTAACTGTACAAAAATGCGAAGCGAAAATAGGTAAATATTCCCGAGTGAGCGGAAACATGAAACACGGCTTGGAGCAACAAAAATAGGGTCAAAAGTCAAAAGGGGTTGAAAACCGGCACTTCTGGATCAATTTCGGGCAGCAAAAGAGGAAGAGAAACGAAGTACATATTTGGGCGCAGGAACCGGCACCGGTCATCACATATCCGGCGCCGGGCGTTTGGTATTTTTCGCGGATCCCTCCTGTTTTCAACCGGCGCTGCACGACCGGTGCATTTTTTCACAGAACCGGCGCCGGACATGCTATAACCGGTGCCGGTTGGTCCGATTTCTGCTGCAAACACAGCTACGTGCAAGAGATTTCTTGATTAGAAAACTTCATCTTCCTCATATTTGATCAAATATCTCCCCCATACCTTTTTGTTGGGCTTGAATAGACTAAAAGATGCCATTATTTAGCCTATATAAAGCCATCAATTCATCAAGCAAAGACATTTCATTCCATAGATTAATTCATAGCTATTATATTTTGTTCTTGCTATTTTTCTTCAAGTTATTGAGGAGGAAACTTCAACCTCCGAAATCATTGGTGTTTAGGTATTATTTCCTTTGTAATTTCATGTTCCATTACATTTCAATATTGTATTGTGATTAATATGAGCATTAGAAGCTAATTTCTTAGCTAAGGCTAGGGATGAACCTCTATGCACATACATTAGGTGTTTGATAAAAGTTCTAAACCAATAAATTGTGATTTATCCTTTATATTTTGATTGTTTATGACTATGGTGTACAACATAGAAGTATGTTAAATTTAGTTTATGCTTGCAATTAACGTTGAAGTCTAAACTATGAACATTAAAGGATAAACATATATAGTACCGAGAATAGAAATATATCCGGTCTTATATGATACGGGTGTGATGTCTTGATATTCAACGGGGTTTTCGGTAGATGAATGTAAGCCGTAACGGGACTTACACGTAACGAAAACCACGCTCTCGCTGCCTTAACCGGAGTTGAGAATATATTAGCGACATCGTATTCATGATTATTTGGAAAGAACTATTATTAAATAACTATTAAAGCATTTAGGTGAATCCTGATTGCCTTAGTAATTCCCATTCTTGTTTAAATCAAAGAACAAAGTTTCTGAAAAACTATACCATTCATATTCTTTTGCTTTCAATACTCGACTTTATAATATCAACCATTTCCCTGTGAATCGACCCAGTATTTACCGGTATTTTATTACTATATCGGCACTTGTATACTTGCAAGTTTAGCCCGATCAAGTTTTTGGCGCCGTTGCCGGAGAATACCGCTTGTTATTATAGAGTTAAAACAATCAAACAAAATCTTGAAATTTTTATTTGCCATTGCTTTTCACTTGTTCTTGTGGTACTTTTTATTTCATGTGTGTAGAATATCCTTTGTGTTTGAATGCATTTGAGAAGTCAAGGTTCTAAACATCTTGAACCTATTGATCTTGAAATAGAAAGAACTTTCAAACACAACCGGAAGGAAAGAAAGGAAGCAAACATGATGCCAACACTCAATGAACGGAAAAGGCTCGTGGTTGCCGCCACTCCCTCATGTATTGTCCTAAGCGAGGCGGGTCGGGACAATGAAATGAAAAATAGCTACTTCAATGCGATGCCTCAATTTCATGGTCTTCCGGGGGACAATCCACTTAACTTCATCACCAAGTTCTATGAATTCATCCAAGGAATCCCTATGCATGGTCTCACCGAGGACGATCTCAAACTCAAAAGCTT